GATTGTCTATCAACCCTCAAGGAAGCAGCAGTCAAACGATCAAGCGACGTATTGCATTGGGCAAATCTGCTGCACAAGACCTTTTTAAGTGTTGAAGAGCAAAGATGTCAGCTTGAGGACTAAGGTGTGCCTGACCCAAGCCATGGTATTTTCAATCACCTCATATGCATGTGACAGCTGGACAATGAATAAGGAAGACCATAGAAGAATTGATGCTTTTGAGTATGGTATTAGGGGAGAATATTGAAAAGTGCCACAGGCTGCCAAAAGAACAAACAGATCTATGTATGAGAAGTGCAGCCAGAGTGCTCCTTGGAGGCCAGGATGGACAAACTTCGTCTCTCTTACTTCAGACATATTGTCAGGAGGGATTAGTCGCTGGAGAAAGATATCATGTTTGGTAAGGTGGAGGGTCAGAAAAAATGAGGAAGGCCCCCAGCGAGATAGACTAGCAAAGTGGCAGCATCAATGGGCTCAAGCATGGCAACAACTGTGAGGTTGGCCCTGGATCGGGCAGTGTTTCATTCTGTTGTGCATAGGGTCGCTATGGGTCAGTACTGACTCGATGGCACCTAACAACAACAAAAGTGACCTACAGATATAATGCAATCCCAGTCCAGATTTTATCATCAATCTTAAAAGAGATGGGAAAACTAATCACCAACACTGTACGGAACAGCGAGATCCCGGTAAGCAAAGCATTAATTAAAAAACAAAAACAAAGTAGGAGACTTCACATTTCCTGACCTCAAAGGATACCATAATCAAAACAGCCTGGTACTGGTACAATGACAGACACAGATCAATGCACAAGAATTGAGAACTGAGAAATAAATCCATCCACCTACAGACAGTTGATGATATTGGACAAAAGGTATTAAATGGTGAAGAGATGGTCTCTTTAACAAATTGTACTGACAAATTAGATATTCGTTTACAGAAAAAGGAAACAGGACTCATATCTCATGTCACATATAAAAATGAAATCATGATTGATCGAAGACCTACATGTATAAAGTAGGACTATAAAGTTCTTTATTGCAAAAATAGGGGCATAGCATAAATATACTATCAAACATAACTAAAAGCACACATACAGAAGATAAACCAGATGACTGATACCTTCCTAAAAATTAGACATTTAACAAGCATCAAAAGATTTCACCAAAAGAATAAGAAGAGAACCCAGAGTCTGGGAAAATACTTTTGGCATGACATATTAGGCAAGAGAGTAATCTCTACATTGTAAAGAAAACTACAACACTTCAACACAAAAGACAAATAATTCAATTTAAAAAATGGGCAGTGAACATGAACAGACACTTCACCAAAGACATTCAGGTAGCCAACGCACATGAAAAGATGTTTACTATCATTGTTGTTGTTGTTGTTGTTAAGTGCCGTCGAGTCAGTTCCGACCCATAGCGACCCTGGTACAGGGTTTCCGAGGGTGTAAATCTTTACGGGAGTAGAAAGCCTCATCTTTCTCCCGCGGAGCGGCTGGTAGGTTCGAACCGCTGACCTTAAGGTTCGCAGCCCGATTCGTAACCACTACGCTACCAGAGCTCCTTAGCCACTACTTTTGTTGTTAAGTGTCATCAAGTCAGTTCCAACTCATAGTAGCCCTGTATAAGGTTTTCGAGGAGCAGCCTGGTGGGTTTAAACCAACGACCTTGAGGTTAGCAGTACAGTGTTTATCCTACAAAGTCACACCAGGACTCCATTAGCCATGACATAGATACAAATCAAAACAATGAGATATCATCTCACCCCAGCATTAATAGCAGTTAAAAAAAAAATGTGCTATGTACAACAAATAAACTGATTTGATCAACTGTAAAACACAATATTATAGTGGGACCTTCTAGAGCTAGCAGCAATACTAGTCTCATGGTAACACAACCTGCACAGTTGCAGACGGCTATACATTTATGAAGGCTCCACACTAGGTTTAGTGTTTATTGTCACTATCTTGATTCTTAATTATTTTTAACAAAGAATCCCAAGTTTTTTGGACTGGGCCCTACAAATTATGCTCAGCCCTACCTACAGTATTTTACAAGACTCCCTATGAAAGACTATTAAAACTATGACTTTACTTTTGTGTAAGTACGTGTTAAGTGTTTTTCATTATCTATCCAACAAATGCTGATGAGGATGAGTAGAGAACTGGAATCTTCATACACTGCTCATGGGATTACATAATGCTGCAAGTATGATGCTTCCTTAAAAAATTGGAAATATACCATATTTCCATATAACTTATATTATATATACTATATAATTCAGCAATTCCTCTACTTAGCATATATTCTAGACAAGTAAGAGCCATGACATGGATAGATGCAGCACTACTCATAATAGCTGAAAGATAGGAACAATCTAAATGCCCATCAATGATAGAATGGATGAACAAACTATGGTACATACACACAATGGAATATTCCACAATTCTAAAGAACAATGATGAACACCTTATATCATGGGTGAACCTGGAGGACATTATGCAGAGTGAAATTAGTCACAAAAGAACAAATATTGTATGAGCCTACTTTTACAGAGGAGTCCTGGTGTAGCACCATAGGATAAGCACTGGACTGCTAACCTACAAGGTCGGAGGTTCACACCCAGCAGCTAGCTGCTCATTGGAAACCCCATAAAGGGTCACTATGAGTCAGAACCAACTTGACAGCACTTAATAACAACTAATTTTTAAAGTACAGAAAAAGTGAAACATTCTTGGATGGTTACTAGGAGTGAAGCAAGAGAGAGCAAATAGCTAACTAGAAGCTTGTTGTTGTTGTTGCTGTTGGGTGTGCCATTGAGTCAGTTTCAATTCATAGCGACCCTACGCACAAAAGTACAAACACTGTCTGGTCTTGCACCAGCCTCACAATTGTTGTTCTGTTTGAACCATAGTTGTTGCCACAGTGTCATTCAGTCTTGTTTGGAGTCTTCCTCATTTTCAGTTACCCTCCACAGTAGAGGGGTGGTGGTGGTGGCTGTGCTGTCAAGTCAGGTCCGATTCAAAGCAAGCCTGTACAGGGTTTCTGAGGAGTGGGTGGTTGGTTTGAACTGCCAACCTATCAGTTAGCAGTCTAGTGTTTATCCTACAGCACCACACCAGGATTCCTAACTAGAGGGTGTTATTGTGGTTAAGTGCCATCAAGTTAGTTTCTGAGGAGTGGCTGGTGGGTTTGAATTGCCAAGCTTACAGTTAGTAAGTAGTCCAGTGCTCATCCTACAGTGCCACAATAGAGGATAAACACATATGAATTTGGGTAAAACAGAAAGCAACATACAATAAGACAGAGGTCAGCAAAAATAATCAAGACAAAGGAAGATAATGAGAGCAGAAGAAGAGTTAAAGGCAACAGAGTTAAACACTATTATATACAATAATAATAACCTACAAATGGATGAACAGACATTCAAGTCAAAGACAGATGAAAATGCGAAAGGGACTACACCCACAAATGTATATAGATTTGACAGAGGATTGTTTTATATATGTAGTTACATATGCTGCAAACATCCATACATAGTCGAATATACAGGGAGCAAATTTATACATAACCAAACGCCATGAGGGATTGAGTCACTGTAGAAATTACCAGTGAATTGGAATACGAAGATTGAGATGTTAGTGGTATTTCTAGTACTAAGTGGTGATATAATTTTGGGCAAGTCATTAAGTTTTGGATCCACATTATGTCTAATGGACTGTAGTAGTCCTGTGCTTCTTTTTAACATTAGTAAACTGTGACTCTTATGCCAGTCTTGGTGGTGGTGGTTGTGTGCCAGTCTTAGGGTACAATTATTTTCCATGTAATTAATCACCAATGCATTTATCAATCTTTTTTTTTTTCAATATGTGCCTATAGTTTTACATGAACGTTAAAGTATTAATAACAATACATACTTGGATTTAAATAGCATTGTCTGTTCAAAATAAAATAACAAAAGTGAGAAAGAAAAAAAAAAGTTTGTGAGGGGCCATCTAAGGTACAACTATTGGTCTTTCCCCATCCAGAACAAAGACAAGTAAAAAAAATTAACGACACATGGAAACAATTAGTCCATAGGACTATGGACCATGTAACCTCAGCCTCCACAACCTAGAGAACAGAACAACAAGATGATGCCTGGTTACTACTACAGACTCTTCTGAGAAAGGTCATATTACAAGGTTCTGGGTAGACTGAGAAAGAGCCCTGGTGGCACAGCGGATTATAAGATCAGCCAGTCTAATCCATCAGCCACTTGATCCATGGGAGAAAGAAGAGGCTTTTTGCTCATGTAAAGATTTATAGCCTCAGAAATTCTACATATAGTCACTATGAGTCAGAATCAACCCTATGGCAGTGGGTTTGGATACAGTGGGAGAAAAATGTGAAACTAAGCTCCTAACCATAAAAAAATTTTTAAACCAAGCTTACTTTTCAGATAGAGACTGGTAGAACCCTGAGACTATGGTTCTTGGTCACCCGTCATGCCTGGATCTGAACTTATCACCCTCATGGCTCAATTTTCAGACAGACAAAACATAGGTCTACAAAATGAACAGTAACACTAGGGAAGTGCACACTCCTTAGAACAATCAACAATTTGAGATCAAAAGGGCAGCATTTGTGCAAGGACAAAATTCAGAAGGCAGAAAAAATTTTGAAGAGGAGTCAACATGGGAAACACAAAGTAGAAGAGGGACAAATGATGTCACATTGTGGGAATTGCCATCAATGACAAAAACAAAATGTATATAAATTATTGAATGAAAAACTGATTTCCTCTGTAAACCTTTGCCAGATTCACAAAAAAATTAATAAAAAAAAAAAAAGAAAGCCATTTCAGTTGTGGCATAAATTGCGCTTAAAGATCTCAGAACATTACACTAAAAAAAAAACCGAAAACATTAAACAGCACTAACAGCATATGAGAAACATTAACTTACTGCACTTAGTATTTTCAAACTGAAAAATTGTTGGGAAAAAGCAATGTACCTGAAAATGGCTGGGTTGCAAACATGTTTTGTATCCAATGCTTCTCCCTGTATAAATTCATAGCATAGTCCATTGTTGAAGGTACAGTAGAGTTGTGGTGCACAGCCATGTGCCTGCAACACTCGAAAACTCTTCACTTCCTCATCTCGATCAACTAACAGCTCAGTCTTATTTCCATAAATTCTCACCAGGACAACATCCTCCATTGTATTACCCACATAACAGCCAATAAGTTTATTTGTGATTCCATCTGTGAAGAGCTGCCAAAAGAAAGAAGAAAAGGCAATTATGTATTTGTAGGGAACAGAACAGGAGATGGTAATTAAAACAACATACACCTTTTTTTTTTTTTTTCAGAGACAAAGGGCTTTATTATATGCAGAATCGTAAGCAACATGAAATTCATGTTTGTCTCAGTTCCCCTTGCTTCTCAAATCCCACAGGGGCAATACAGTGTGACCTAGGTGAACACTCACAGTCAGTGGGGTTGTATCCAGCTGAGAATCTTTATATTGGACTATAAGCAAAACTGCTCAAAACATACATACTTTTAATATAAAAGTTTATATAAAAATTTTGTCTAGTACATCTATAATCTAAATTCTAAATTTAAGCAAAAATGAATGCTAAAATTAAACATGCCTCCCTTAATGACTGCAAACGAAAGTGAAAGCTAGTTTTAACATGTCACCTTTAATTCCTATAACATCATGTCTTACTTGGTCCAATAGTGTTAACCATTCGCTTTGTTTCCAACCTTTGGTTACTTTTTAATATATTTATTTATAATCCCTATATTAGCAGTTTCTGTGAAGTCCTGAAGGATAGAAGCAACACTCTGCTCCCTCTCCATACATGCAAAGGCATATATGTGCAAGCACATCACACTACCATCTTGTTTTTAATCTGTCTTACAAATTGGACTACAGCACATGATTTCATTTGAACAAAAGGTCCAAAATCACTGAAAAAAGATTCAAAATCACTGATCTAAATCATCCTCTGGGTCACATTCACTTCTAACCAAGAAGTAACAAGATTAGATTCACACTTCTACCAAAAATTTAAAAAAAAAAAAAAAGCTAACAAAATGTGCAAAACAATAAATTTTCAAGAAAGTGAATATCAGTTCACAAAAAACAATATTCCTAGAGATGGGAACAAATGAAGTGAGCTCCATGACTGTCTCAGCTTAATATCTTGAAAGAAGCCCAAGTGTAGACAGAGGCAGACTCCTTGAACTGAAGAAATTAAACAAGAGTCTAAAGACACTAAGACAGCTATAGTTTATACAGCAGACTACTGAAGCAGAGAAAGAGAAGTTTTAAGTATCCAATTGAGTAATGGGCAGAGAATACTGACTGCTCATGTATTTGAGGAAACTATCCCAGGGCAAAAAAAAACTACCCCATTCAAAAGAATGATAGGAAACAGTGCCAGATATCAAGATCTTTAGCAAAGCTCAAAATTAATCAAGACAGTGGAGTACCAGTCAAACAAAAGACAAAAAAATAAAATATAGAAAAGAACTGAATTCATAAACAGAGCCATAGACATTGCCACTTGACTTATAATACACATTGGTACTAAAATGGAAAAAACGCTGACCTTTCCAATAAATAATACTGAATTAACTGTTAAGTCATATGGAAAAAAATAAATTATGGCCCTTCTACCTCAAACCTCAAAAACCCTATACAGGGTCGCTATGAGTCTGTACCGACTCGACAGCACTAAACAATAACAACCTTATACAAAATCAATTCCAGATGGTTTGCAAATCTAAATAAAAAACAGAGCAATAGAAGCACGCACGAGGGAAAAGCTTCATGACTTTGGGGTAAGAAGAGATCTCTTAAACATTTAAAAGACAAAACTAAAAATTTTTTATATTATCAACTAGTCTTAAGAGTGTTGCTGCTGTTTAGTGCCGTTGAGTCAATTCTGACCCATAGCATCCCTGTATAGGATTTCCGAGGAGCAACCGGTGAGCTTCCAGTTCAAAGTGACTTTGCAGTCCAGCACAATTTTAAAGTAGGAGGAAATAAATACAGAAGGCATCCAAACAACCAGTACACATAGAAAAAATGCACAACTTCATTATTTATCAGGAGAATGCAAATTAAATATTCAGTGAGATATTCGTAATACACAACAAAGTAACAGTATGAAGACCGACAATACCACCAGGTGTTGGTAAGGATCTACTTAAACTGAAATGCTCACATACTGGTATTAGAGGTATAAGTTGGCACAAGCATTTTAGAAACCAAAGTATTTAATAAGGCTGAAAATACATACAAGTCTAATTTCAGCTATTTTCACCTAATAAAAAAGTGTGTGTGTATATAATATATATGTTGTTGTTGTTGTTATGTGCCGTGGAGTCGGAACCGACTCATAGCGACCCTGTACAGGGTTTCCGAGGGTGTAAATCTTTACGGGAGTAGAAAGCCTCCTCTTTCTCCCGCGGAGCAGCTGGTAGTTTCGAACTGCTGACCTTGCGGTTCACAGCCCGAGTCGTAACCATATATATATATATATACACACACGTATATATATTCACCAAAAGGTATATATACAGGATTGTTCATAGCATAATTTTAATAGTCAAAAAGTGAAAACCCCAGTGCTATCAACAGAAAGTACACGGAGGTATGTTCTTACAAAAAAAACCATGAAAATGAACTGTAAGCATACTTAACATTTATGCATATCTCAAACAAAAACTTTGAAATCATATTGCATATGATTTCCTTCAAAAAAAATCCAAAGAGAAACAAAACAATACCATCTCACCTACCAACTATCTCATCTTAGTTATCTAGTGCTGCTATACCATAAACACCACAAGTGTATGACATAAGAGAAATTTATTCTCAGAGTTTAGGAGGCTAGGAGTCCAGATTCAGAGTGCTGTCTATTTTTGTTGTTGTTAGGTACTTCTCGTGTTGCTAGCAACCCTATGCACAACAGGAGGAGATACTGCTTAGTCTGCCATCCTTACAAATTGTTGTGAAGCTTGAGTCCACAGCTATTGTCAGAGGTCTTCCTCCTAACATTTTACCAAGCATAATGTCCTTCTCTAGGGAATGGTCTATCCTGATAATTTGACAAAGTCTCACCATCCTTGCCCTGAGGAGTATTCAGGCTATACTCTTCCAACATAGACCTATTTGTTCTCTGGCAGTCCATGGTACTGTCAATATTTTTCTCCAATGGCATAACTCAAATGTATCAATTCTTCTATGGTCTTCCTTATTCACTGCCCAACTTGGACTGCTTGAGTCAGGACTACCTTAGTCCTCAAGATGATTATCTTTGCTCTTGAAGACTTAAAAGAGCTTTTGTGCAGCAAATTTGCCTAGGGTAGTAAGTCATTTGATTTCTTGACTAATGCTTCTAGGAGTATTGATTGTGGATCCAAACAAAATGAAGTTTTAACAATGTCAATCTGTTCTCCGTTTATCATGATGTTATTTACTGATCCTGTTTTGAGGATTTTTTTTTTCCTTACTCAGAGTTATAGTCCATACTGAAGCTATAGTCTTTGATCTTAATCATTATTTTAAGTCCTCTTGCTTTCAGAAAGCATGGTTGTATCATCTGTATATCACAGATTGTTAATGAGTCTTCCTCTAATCCTGATGCCATTCTCTTAATATAATCTAGCTTCTCATATTATTTGCTCAGCGTACAGATTAAGTAAATATGGTGAAAGAATACAGCCCTGTCACATACCTTTCCTATTTCTAAACCATTCATTGTTCTCTTGTTCTGCTTGCTCCTCTCTTTATGTCTCGTAAAATAAAAGGTATTTTAGGCCATACCCAGGGAAATCCCTTACATCTTTTTAGGGCTGTGATGTGATTAAAGGAGTCCTGGTGTGGCACTGTGGGTTAATAAACTGGACTGCAAAGTCGTTTGAACCTTAAAGTCGGCAATTCAAGCTCACCAGTTTCACCTCAGAAACCCTATACAGGGTCAGAACCGACTCAACAACAATTAACAACAGCTCCACCCTTAATCCTCTTACGACTGGTTTATCACATGATGGAGGATCATTACATAACTGCCAGATTATATCATTATATAACTGCCAAACCACTGAGAATCATGGCCTAGTCAAGCTAACACAGATTTTGGGAGGACAATTCAATCAATGACACTCGTGATCCTACATTTCACATTTATGATAATAGTAAACACCTTATCTACGTGGGTGAGTCAAAAATTATCTGCACTTCTGGCTGTAAAATTTTACTCAACTTTTAAAAAAGACAAATACAGCATTTTTCTACATAATCTCTTTGCTTTTCAATACACTTTGGCCATCTGTCAACCAGCTTTCATATTCCCTTATTAAAAAAATGTTTTAGGTGCTGTTGGTTAATGTGCTGGACTGCAAAGTCAGCTTGAACCGCAAGGCCGGCAGTTCAAGCTTACCAGCTGTTCCTCGGAAACTCTATACAGGGTCACTATGGGTCAGAACCGACTCAACGGCACTTAACCAACTCAACAACATGAGCCATGAATGCACCACTGACTTCACTTCTTCACCAGAGGTGAATCTTCATCCTCAAAGGGCTACCTTCAAGAAACCAAACAGGTGAAAGTCTGATTGAGTAAGATCAAGACTATAGGGAGAATGCTTTAACACCTCAAAATGACGTTTTTGCACAGTGTCGACAGTGTAGGCAAAGGAGTGTGGATGTGCATTGTCATGCAAGATCACAATGCCCTTGGATAGTAGTCCTGTGCGTTTAAAAGTTTAGGCTTTAGTGAGCATCTCACTGCAGTAAGCACTGTTGATTATTGACCCTTTTTCCTGATACTGTTCCAATACTAGCCCTTGAGAATCCCAGAAAGCTGTAAACATCAATTTTCCAGCTGATAGTTGGCTTTTGAACTTTTTCTTGGTCGGTGATTCGAGGCTATTTCCATTCTATACTCTGCCGTTTACTCTCAGGCTCCTAGTAATGAATCCATGTTCTCATCACTAGTAACGATTTTCTTAAAGAAACTTTTGCCTTCCTTCATATCAGTCCAATTTTATTTGCAGATGTCCAAATGCTTCTGTTTATGCTCTTTTGTGAGTTGTTTCAGTACTCATCTCACACAAACTTTTTGAAACCTTAATCTGTTGTGGATTATTTCATAGGCAGAGCCAGGGCTAATTTGCAAATGACCTGCCATATAATCCACTGTTACTGGTCTATTTGACAAATCATTTCGTAAGCTCAATGTTGTCATCAACCAT